AAACCAAGTTTTTGATTTGATCTAAAATTTGAAAGGGAATCGCTTCCCGTGGATATTTTCTATTATAATCATAATAACAATCATAATAAAAATAATAATCATATTATTAATTATTATTATTATTATTTTGATTATGATTATCATTATGATTATGATTATTATTATTTTGACAACAAAAAGATAATTGTCCAGAGTTCTTGATTTCGGTTCCATTTTTTTTACTAGCTTGCGATGTTGCGCATGCGTTGTATTGCAAGTGGTGCGAATCTCCACTTCACCTCTGTGTTCGTTTTTGTCATCAGGTGTTATTAAATCAGTTTAAGAACTTGCGCACCCAAACACTTATACACTGATAGCTAGTGCCAATTTTACTGTTTTTCCACTTTCAGGATAGATTAAAAAAACAGATACAGGATACATCAAGAGGAGAACTTTTTCATGAATTTTGAAATTCTTATTTTTAAAATGACCAATCCTTAAAGCTGAAAAAGCTGAGTATTATATCTTTGAGCTAAATTAGCAACTATATATAGTGGTCTAATAAAATTTAGCTATACTGGAGGCTACAAAATAAGCAAGAGTATAAGTTTTTAAATTGTTTTCGGTATTTTCGCGATTGCTAGTGTGTAATCATCTGGTACAACTTTTTTTCTGGTTAAAAACAGTCTAAGTTGAAAGCACGTATTTTAGCAGTTGAACTCAATTAAACTTTTTTTAACTTTTTGCTTAATATCAACCCTAGGCTATCAATGTAGGTGGAAAATCTACATTGAAAGTCTAAGGCTGATTTCTGGAAGAAAATAGAACTTTTTCTCTTGCATTGATCAAGAGTTATAATACCAGTTTCATAAGAACTTCTCAGTCTCCAATTGAGAATTTATAAAAACCAGTTTCAGAAGAAATTCTCAGTGTCCGATATTTGCGTTTAGTTTTCAACATGTAAAATTTTCTTCCGGCGGCCTTTCGCTTCTCTTTCGATCCAAAAAAAATTTCAACATCTTATTTTCCTGAAATTTGAGGAAATAAACAACTGTCCATTTTGACGGCCTGACACGAGCTGTGTTACAGTCGAAACTCAAAGTAGATAATTCTTGTTTGTATAGTGCTGTACTTATTGTGTACGTTCAACATCCAAAATTATTTTTATTCGAAAGTTGTTGGCTTCGCTTAAATCAATCCTGTTATCTTTATACTAGTTTTGCAGGAATCAATCTGAAAAAAGGGGGTCAATCAAAATGGGGTCTTCCGTCATGCGGCGGTACGTGCACAGGTTGGATAGGGCCGTACCAACGCTATATAAATACATTAAAATTTACATGCTAATTAAAATTTACCCTCCTCGATTATAGCTCCTCAGAAGTGCAAAACTTATTTTTGTTCTTAAAAAGTTTTTTGTGTCCGAGTATGATTCGTTCCGTTTTTCGCTTAGTTTTTCTGCTAGTTTCTGGAGGGTTTTTGTAGAGCCTGGTGCTGCTCCTCCGGTACACGCAAACATTAGTGGAACAAACCTGCTGTGTTCCACATCCAGAATTCTTTGTTGGTATTTTAATGTTTTGACACTCACATGATATTTGTAGGCGTCGGATATAGTTGTAGGACAGGATTTAGCATGGGGGTTGAAAATTTTTACATCGAAAAAGGTTCGGCTAAATCGGTCTCCCCAGAGTCCATTTGCCTTGATGTCACGATTGAAGCCTTCCAACAATTAAAATTTCGGCTCTATTTCAACATCATGGCATACTTCGTCTTGGAGTGTTGCAAAGGTATCGCGAATTTCATTGTCTTAGATGAGTGTATCCACCTTTGGGACAGTGTAGAGAGTGAGTCAGTGTGAACGGTTGTCCACATGGGCATGTATGTGGAATGTTTGATGGTTCCCATCCATATCTCAGATGTAAATCATCTTTAAACTCTAATTTGTTGAGGAAAAAATTGTACTTTTTTAAGGGTAGCATGCTCCTTTCTATGATACTAGTTTTATTGTGAGCTTTTTTCTGATGAGCAATTTTCAATAATGTTATCCTTTTTGAGAGTGTGATGTTCTGTCTCTCAGTTTTGAGGTTTCTATTTATCAGAGTTTGTTCCGTTTCCGCTATTTCTGGATCACTGTTCTCTAACGGATCACAAATGGCTCATGACCACTCATTATTTCTGGAGAAGTCCGTGTTAATGAGGAGGTCTAATCCTCCCATTCTTAGTGGTAAGGCAAAAAGGCTGCGATATTCATCGGTTATATGGTTTTTACTGTCTTAGGTTTTTCTCAATTCCATCCATTTTCTTATATGCTTCCGGAGTTGTTCTGGTTAGAAAACTTAATTTGTTTTGAACTCCATTTGTGTAGCAGGAGTAGGCATTCTGTGCTGATGTTTTAGCTATTTTGGAAAGCTTTTCAGTTAGGTTAGTTGTATTTTTAATTTCGCTTTTCATGTATTTGTAGCATGCTGATGGTGTTGCTATAACCGATCCAAGGACTCTACAACTGTCTACCGTTGTAATATTTGTGCCTTCGATTATCTCTATGGCCCTTTCCCGACGGTTTTCTTTTACTATGCTTTGTTACTTGGATGGCTTCACATTGTATCCGGAAGCCTTTGCGTGGACACACAGGTTGTCCAGTATTGCGCGGTGACTCTTAAGATCACCTGCAGCGCTTCCGTCAACTGCGTACCATTTTTGGGTGACATTTGGTTTTTGCAGGAGCTCGATCAGTGGGATTATCCCAATTCCGTAAATAGCCATTGCGAGGTGATCAGCTTGCGTTGTGCCTTCAGTAGATGTCAAAACCGTGTTAATGACATATAAATTTGAGGGATGTTTATATGAGTTTGCCAGCGCATGATGTAGTGCTGGACACAGGATTTCTACATTTTTAGAGCAAGTCCTCTATTGAGCGAGTTGAAGACATTTTCTGCATCAATAAGTAGTATGGCGCCCGTTTCCGGTTTCTCAAACTTGTTGCTCAAGCTGTGGATACCATATTCGATTCCACACTTCTGGCCTAAGCAGAGTTGGAATTTTTTTCCGAGATTTTTAAGGTCTGATTTTATATATTGGGTGATGGTTTCGCCAGCTATTCGTCTCAGAACCTCTCCTATACCAATGGGCCTTACCCCTGGATTTTTGTCCAGATGTATCAGACGACACGAGTTGTACGCCGTTAGGTTTTCATGGGGAGAACTTTACTTGCTATTGTATAGGATAGCTTTGCAATTTTTTGCAAAGCTCAGCAGATGTCTGATTGAAGTGAGCTAATATCCTTCTCCACTCGCACACATCTACACCTGAGGGACCGTGGCTTCTGTGCGTTTCTAGGGTTGGTTTTCGATCGTCTTGGCGTTTATTTGTTCGAATATAGAGGAGTGGTATGGCATTGTGTTTTCATTTACTTCAGTTATATAGTTTTTGTTCGATGTTTTAGCTTTCAGGATAATACTGTTTTTCCTTGAAGGATTTCGTTAAGGGGAAGTACTCCTTTTGTTGTCTTGTCTGAGAGGCAACCAATTTCTGCAGATATTTTGCCTGTACTCATTAGTTTATCGAATTGTTTCACTTCCTCGTTTACTTCGCACTTCTTCTGTTTTGGATGTCTAATTTGGAGAGCTTTCGCTTCAGTTAAAAGTTCGTCTAGTAGGCCTTGCTTTCATAAAATTATGCGGCGGCTCAAGTTTTGGAATTTGATCCGTTTGTTTTTGATTTAGTTTCGGGGAGCAGATGTGGGAGAATCATTACTGCTTTCATTGGGTCGTTAGATTTTGGTGTTTCTTCTACTTATGACAACGGCTGCTGGTTCAGTAATTCTATGAATTGGAAACCGGGCTTGTTCTTGCTTAGAACTATGAAGCGCGCCTTCCTGTTAACAACTTTTTGATATGTCGTTTTTTTCAAGTTCTTGGTCGATAAGTTTCCAGGGGTCGGAGGGGACTGTAGCGATTTAGTCATATCGAAACTTAATCTCAACAATTAGGCTAAAGGAAAAGGAAAAATGTTTTGTGACAATTTTTAATGTTTACGCGTGCGATTAGCAAGCGTTATCAAACCGGAATATAGACTTTTTTCTGGTTAACAACTAGTTTAGCAGAATCACTTCAATCCTTTTAGCTCTGGTTTATATGAAATCAAAAGTCTGATGTTAGTTTGCGCATATGGCGAAGAGGTAACGCACATGCCTATGAAGACAAAGGTCAATGGTTCGAATCCGGACAGGACTTGTTTTTTTTGCAAGCTGAAAATTGTCCGCGCATCAAAAAATCTTGGTCAGATTTCTGTTTGTCTGTTTGTTTGTCCCCATATAGGTTTCGTACGAATAGGTTTTGTACATGGTCCTCATATAGGTTTCGTACGAATAGGTTTTGTACATGTCCTGATATAAGTTTCGTACGAATAGGTTTTGTACATGGTCCTCATATAGGTTTCGTACGAATAGGTTTTGTACATGGTCCTCATATAGGTTTCGTACGATTAGGTTTTGTACATGGTCCTCATATAGGTTTCGTACGAATAGGTTTTGTACATGGTCCTCATATAGGTTTCGTACGAATAGGTTTTGTACATGGTCCTCATATAGGTTTCGTACGAATACGTTTTGTACATGGTCTTCATATAGGTTTCGTACGAATAGGTTTTGTACATGGTCCTCATATAGGTTTCGTACGAATAGGTTTTGTACATGGTCCTCATATAGGTTTCGTACGAATAGGTTTTGTACATGGCCCCATATAGGTCTTGTACGAATAGTTTTTGTACATAGTCCTCATATTTTGTGTCTTCGCACAATAAGTTTCACCTTTCGTACATAACTTTGGTAATCATATCTTGTGTTCCTAATTCCAGCAATAAATGTTCTATAAATTGTAATTATTTATTGGGTGAAATTTAGTTTTTGTTCTAGTTCAAATCTTCTGAAACCTGTTTTTCTGACATTTCTCTAGACAATACTCATTAGAAATTACCATTGATAAGGTTTTAATAGCGTTTTGAAAGGTTAAAAACTTTTCAGGTTGAATAAGCGATGGATGGTGATTATTTCAAAAGCTACGAAAACCTTTCTAGTCACGACGTGATGCTGAAAGACACGCGTCGTCTCAAGTTCTACCGCGAGTTCTGCAATTCATGCAGCTCGAAATTCATCAAAGACAAAGTTGTTCTGGATCTAGGCTGTGGCACTGGTGTTTTGTCCATGTATGCAGCATCTAGTGGAGCCAAACTGGTTTACGCAGTGGAAGCAAGCGAGGTTGCTATTCTGGCCAGAAAAGTGATTCAGGAAAATAAGATAAAAAATGTAAAGGTTATTCAAGGAGCCATCGAGAAGGTACTACATTGAGTGAAGTTCATGTGATAATCCTTGTCAATAAAACAAAATAGATAATTATCTACGCAAAGCTTGCCGATGATATATTACAATAGGTGGCAGGTTCAAGTAAAATAGCTCGATCTTCTTTTGTTATACTTCGAAAAGTATTATAATTTATTTTAAAAGCCAATTTTTTTTCGATAAAAGAAGTGTAAAATTTTATCTGGCTGAGTAATGGATTCACAAAAACTATCTTAGCAGCATGTGTAATTGATTTAAAATGAAATGGCTATCTTATGCATTATAGTTCTCAGATTTAATACATGCACTATACTCCAACTTGTAACATTTCACCGGCTTGCCAAACAAATGGCAGTTTTTTTTGAATCCATCTCCGATTTGAACTGTTTAGTGTCAGAATGGGGAAAACTCAAAAAGGATGATAGTTTAGTTTTTTTTGATAAATCCGTTTTTGATAAATGACTTTTTGAAATCCGTTTTTTGTGTGTTGATTTGTCTGAAATGAACAGCTCTGAACTGCAGGTGACTCTGCCTGAAAAAGTGGACGTGATAATCTCGGAGTGGATGGGCTTCTACCTTGTTCACGAGGGAATGCTCTCTTCCATCATCTACGCACGTGATCACCTTCTCAAACCAGATGGACTCATTTTCCCCAATCGTGCCACCCTCTTTGCGTCACCAGTGGACTTGAAGTCATTCTACGAAACAAATTTTTCTGTTTACGACTCAATCGATGGCTTTTCCATGAAGTGCTTGAAAAATCTACTTTGGCAGGAACGTCTTAAAAGTCCAGTGTGTGAATCAGTATCACCGAAATCAGTCCTTGCCTTTGCGACTAGCATTGTCAATTGGAACTTAGACAGCTTGACGCTTGACCAGTTAAATGATATTTCTCAGACGACCAAATTTGATGTTAGTTTAGCTGGAACTTTACGAGGCTTGACTTTTTGGTTTTCTGTGTCTTTTCAGTCCGCAGATTTCTGTTCAGTTTTGGATACAAGTCCCTATTTACCTGAAACGCACTGGAAACAAACTTCAGTTTTCTTGCCTAAATTTACAGAAGTTGAAAAAGGGGATAAGGTGGTGATTGAAATTAAACTTGAAAAGAGCAAAGAAAATCCAAGGTGGTATGAAATTAGCGTGGAACAGAAATCCCTCTTGGAAAAAAGTTTCGATCCAGTTGGCTCCCTGACAAACGCCGGAGACGGAAAATTAAATGGCTCATCAAAATTAGATGAAGCTAATGCAGAAAGGTCGGAGGATGAATTGGGCGATGATAATGACGTAATAGCAGCTCTGATTGGTGCATTGAGTGAAAAGTATGACGTAGATCCGAATGAAATTGCCCAAGTGATTGCAAATAACGCAAATGACTCTGATACTGAAATGGACTGAGTTGTTCAAATATCTTGTTGCAAATTTGATTCTATTTGAATTTATCTTCCGGTTTTCCCGTTTCTACATGCATAGCTAGATGAAATTGCTAGAATTGAAAAACTATTATACCAAAACATTTTATGCGAGCAGAAAATTTTACAGATGAAAACACTTTTTTTTGGTATGAATCTTTAATTTTCTAAAAGAAAGTCGTGCGAGCGCAGCAATTCTATAGCAGTTCTTGCGATGCAAATTCTTACCTTGGCATCGATATCAAAAATGAGCTTACGCCCTACACTTTTAACTTTGCATGGAAGAATAGAGGACGCTAAATGCTTAAATAACACTTTACAAAATTTAAATGAGAAACTTTTTTGCCCGTTGATTAAGGGATATAAAAAATATAAATTAATTTCATTAAAAAATTGCTTTCGATTTTTAATGGCTGATTTCAACCAATATTGATTTACTTACAAACAATACCATAAATGTAGATAACGCTTAATTTGTGAAGCGTATCTTTCATGTGACAAAAATATATATTTTTTACTATCTGTCAGAAAACTCTCAGTATAACTGGTTTATTGTCCAGCTGAATCTAAATTTGACGATGTAACTCATAAGCACCATCCGCTTTATCTCTTTAATGGGATTGCAATAACTTTATTCAAGTAGTATTGTGACCTCGACTTTTGACCTTTTGGATGATCAGTTTTTATTTGAAATCGAACCAGTTTTAGGTTTAGAATTGCAATCAGTCGTCGATTGTTACTTCGGATCGATTTCAATTGCATGTTATCACTTATATCATTTAGTTATCAAAACTTCACTCAGTTGATTGACTATGTACACTTGGTTATAACTAGTTATTGAAATAAGCCCACTGGTTGACTATAGAATGTCGAATCCTTTCCACGGGGGTTCTGATGCTTTGCTGGAGCATGTAATGCTGCATTACAGGTGGATCTTCGTCATGTTCCTGTTGCCCATTTCGATGCTATATGATATTTACTTCTACGCCAGGAACTATGTCGTCTTCAAGTTAGTAATTAATCAAATTAGCTAAAACTCCAGCATTTGGGGCTGTGAATCTGACAGCATTTAATTAGTTTATAACCAGAGATTGAAAACTGCAGCGTCAAGAATTCTTTTGGAACACAAGGATAGCCAGTTGCTGTTTTTTTTCACAGAATTATGTTGTTGCGACCACGCTAATATAAAAAAAGTTCAAAATATCGAAAACTGAATTATTGCGACCGTTTTTTTGGCCACTTTTACTTGTAACAACGATAGCTTATTTTCATTTACTTAAACTGTTGCGAACACCAGAGACTTGCTCAAAAAACCTGACCAGCAATTCTGTCTGAAAAATATAAAGAGTGCATAAAATGCAACCGGAAGTAACTGTTTTAAGCCCATCATTTATACATTTCAGCATCTTTTTTATTCATTATTTTCTCGGAAACATCAGAGGAACGTTTTCAACGAAATTTAAGACAAAAAATGAGCCGTAAACAAAAGCAACAAAAATTAAGTATCTGAAAGTTAGTCAAAATATGGAAAATCACAAAACAAAACAGTACATCTGATAAAAAAGCTAGGTTTTAGAAAGCATTACTCTTAACATGGCTTCGTGAAAATTCCGATTAGTAACTGAAATAAAACAGATTTTAAAAATATTATGCACTGAATATGCTTCAAAAACCAGGGCGGAAGGCCTATGAGTTGACAAAGAAATGCAATTTTGGTTTAGCTGACAAAATTTTGCTGCTAACTACAAGTTCAATTGCTTCGTAAGTCGAGATAATGGAACACTTTTCGGTCAAACTGTTGTTAAAATAGTAAGTTTAGAAAATCGAAAAGGTTGTTGATAAGTTGTATTGTAGACAAACTGTTAGGCATCAAATCGAAATCTTACTGCACTCTTTTATTTCAGATCCCATCGGACATTAGAGATCGCAAGGTCACGACAGCAGGTCCCCAGACAGAAAGAAGAATTGATAGCACTTACATAAACTCAAACTGGTTTCTATCTAGAACAATTGATAGCACTTACATAAACTCAAAACTGGTCCCTATCTCATTCGGGCAACCACAAATAAAGTTTAGAGCGTAGATATAAAATTTATCAACTCACTGTTACTTTTTGGTATTGTATAAATGTACTAGTTAAGTTTTAGTTTACGTTGAGTTTTCTCACCCGCCAAACCTCTTTTAAGGTTTATTTTTCAACAAGTTTTCTCATTTGTGTTCTATTCGGTGGATCATAAACCCCCCATTTTGTCAACTCCGCGTCTCTGTCGTGTTGATTTCCTCGTCGCTGTTTCACACTGGTTTTTATTTCGTTTTCCACCGACGGATCTTGGTGATTTCTCCCTTACCGACGGTACATCATTTCCTTCGTTCGCCGCACTTTTAATTGGTTCATTTCGCTCGATTTCCCACTCGCTATCTTCGTCGTCCTCGCTCTCGTCCGCACTGTACTCCACTATCCGTTGTTTCGTCGATCTTCTTGCGTTCTCCATTGCGATTCGATCCTTCTCGGCTTTGCGCTTATACTTGTTGGATTCGCTTGGGGCCGGGGTACTATGTACATTTCTACTCGGTCCTGGGGTGCACTCATCGCTTTTACTCTCAATTAGGCTTTCTTCAGCCGCCGATCTAAAAGAAACACCACTCCGCCTTAGTAACGACCCTTTTTCCATTTGCACCGTATGCTTAGTCAATTTTTCAATTTTTAATGGCAAACGTTTATACCTTCTTGGGTCCTTTGGATCCGTTTTTCCGGTCCTCTGGTATACGGTCGTTGAACTGGTCTTGTGCTTTTTGAGCCATGTTGGAGTTTTCGGTGGACTTATTTCCTTGGTGTCAACTACTTCCGGAGCCCTGGGATCCGCTACCACATCGTCATCCAAAATGATGGGAGCTTTCCTATTTTGTGGGGCGTACACCAAATCACTTCTCTTCTCCCAATCTAGGGTGAGTTCTACTTCCGGGAGGTTTCCCGCCTTGTCTAAACAAGATAACTTTTGGTTAACAACATTGTTCCAATTTAAGTTTTTCAATGACGGCTTTTTCGTTAAATTTCGCAGAGCCGTATTTGCTTCTCGTCCATGGTATGCTTCAAAAGGCGTTAATTTAGTTTTAGAATGTGGCACGAAACGTAACGCGCTGAGCGCACGGGATATCCTTGCTCCAAACTTGTAGTTTTTATTTTCCTGAAGATAAGTTAACACGTAGTTTTTTATCGACCCAATAGTTCGTTCAACCATTCCTGTCGCGCGATGATCCCTAACCGGAGATTTAATTAGTTCGATACCTTCGTAGTTACAGAAATTTTGAATTTCATTTGAGAAAAACCCCGTAGCCTGATCCATGTGCAATTTCCTTGAGTGTCCATGAGTATTTATGTACTTCCTTAGGAACCTCAATACATTTTTGGATTTGTTGCTTGAACAAACATACGCCGACGGCCAATGCGAGAAGGTATCTACTGCTACCAGTACATACTTTTTCCGACCCCTTACATAATTTAATGGGCCCCAGAAATCTAATTGGACCAAATCATTTGGTTCCTTAGGCACATAAGTTTCCCCCATGTCACTTTTTGGAATGTCCGGCTTAAGGTTTTTACCTGCTTCTAAGCAATTTTTGGAGTATTTTGCTGTAGCCGCGATGTTCCGATGCATAAGGGGAATCCACACGTCTTTTGCGGCTGCGAACATTTTGTCCCGCCCATGATGGTTGTAATGTAGACGGTTTAGAATTGCTGATGATAGATCCTTCGGTATTTCTAACCGGCCGTCCATCCACAGGCAATTCTCACGTACTGCAAAATCCATGCAATGCTGGGCGTAGTATTGTCCTAGTCTTGTTATTATCTCCTTTACTCGTGGGTTTTTGTCTCTGATGTTATCTCTGATGGTTTTCATAATTGGGTCTTTTTCAATGTTTGCTTCTATCAATTTTAAATTCAAAACTTCCGGGTGTTCAATTTTCTTCACTATTTTACTATCTGATGGCACTATAGAGTAGATCCATTTGTCGTTTTGTACAAGTGGGTAAGATAAACCCGGGAACTGGTGTGGAAAGGATATGATTGTATTTAGTTTTTTAGAATTAGTCTGTTTATTATCAAGTTTTTCGGGTGGTATCATTTCAATATCGGAATCCGAATTAACGCTAGGAGGTTGATTTAGGCGGTTCAGTACAACGTTTAGATTCACATTTCCAGAATTAGTTGATGTGTTGACGATGGCCGAAGTTGGAGGATCATTTTTTTCAGGCGAATTACTCATTTTTTTTATATTTTAAGTTACTCAAATTATTCCGAATTAGGGGTTTGCTACTGTAATTCTTTAAAGTAAATGGCTCTTCACTGTAATCTTGTAAGATGGATGGTTTGCAACTGTAAATTTTCAACGTAGGAAGCTTGCTGTTGTAATTAGTCGAACTGAAAGGATTGCGATTGTATTTAATCAAATTTTTATGCTTGCGACTGTATTTTAAGCAATGAGAACAACGTCTGAATCTTATTCTTCGTCATTTGCATATTTCCGCCGGTATGCAAATATCTCGACGCTGATTGGTTAACCGCCGGTTGCACGTACACACGCCCTCTATTGAGCGTTCGTGCTCACGGTGAATATTTGCATATTCGTCTTTTCTTTCATTCTCATTGGATGAAACTGATTTCGTTGTGTCGAAACATGACTGTTCGCCCCCTACCGTCAGTTTTGGCTTAATTTTATTCACTTGCTGACCCCTAGGCTTCATTTTATCCTTGGGCATCAACGCCGCGTTTATCATTCTTATCTTCGCTACTGTAAAATTTTCATCGTAATGACTTATTTCGGGTGCCTCTGCGGACGGAAACCGAGACAAATAGTCAGCCATCCCCATTTTCGACCCTTGTCTATGTTCAACTTTAAAGTCGCATGGCACCAGTCGATCATACCATCGAGTTAATTGACTGAAAAATGTTTTATTTCCTTTTGGCGACGAATTCAACGATGTAAGTAGCGGTTTATGATCAGATATGACTGTGAAATACCGGCCGTATATATAATTTCGAAAGTGTTCCGTGGCCCACACTACCGCGAGTAATTCTAATTCGTTTGTAGAGTTTTTTTTCTCAGCCGGATTAAGGTAACGGGATGCAAACGAAATCGGATGCCACCCGGATGCGCAATACTGTTCTAACACGGCCCCTAAACCATCGTGACTAGCGTCACAAATAGTTCTAGTTTCACGGTGAATGTCGAAATGTCGTAATTCGACAATATTTTCCACCAGCGATTTTAATTGTTGGAACGCATTTTCGCAAACTGGTGTCCAGACAAAATCGTTATTTTGACTCAGTAGTGGCCTTAAAGGTGCGCTTAATTCTGCGAGTTTGGGTGAAAATTTGTGTAAACTGTGTAGTGAACCCATTAAAGATTTCAACTGCTTTCGAGATTTTGGGGTTTTCAGGTCTTCTATTGCTTGTGTTATTCTTACTAGGGGTGTGATACCACTTTCCCCAATTCGAAATCCGAGCCATTCGCACTCTGTTTTCGCAAATTCACATTTTCGAAATTTTAACGCGACATTGGAGACATCCAGCTTTTTCAATATCTTTTCCACCAACGCAATGTGTTCGATCTTAGTTCCTTTTGAAGCAATTAAGATATCATCTATAAACGCGTTAGCTTGGCGGAACTCCTTAATTAAATTATCAATTACTTTTTGGAATTCCGCCGGCATTGACGTAAGTCCGTAAAAACCGTTTTTAAAACGATAAGTCCCCATGGATTTCCCACCGACTAGTGAGAAATTGCATTGCTCGCTCGTTTTTTGTTCTAAGGCGACTTGTCCGTACGCATATGTGAAATCCAACGTTGTAAAATATACATTCCTCGCTTTTTACTCCGCGATAATCTGACTTACTCCGTCTACTAATTCGTCAATATTTGGCATTTGGTACTTATTCTTGTGTACCTGCTTGTTCAATTCTCTTGATTCCAGTGCTAATTTTATACTTCCATCTTTTTTTACTGTAA